TAACAAGTGTGCACCACACCTAACTCACTAGACTCACCTAGGTCAAGCTACCCGTCCATACCCCCCTTAATAGTACGGCCAAAGGAAAAACAAAGTCCTAAACTACTCTAAGTGTCTCTCCAACTCCAATCGACACTTAGAACTAGTCATCCTTAACCTTGTCGTCCATCCTTTGAAAACCGAAATGATTTCCATCGTAGGGGCATGACATCCACGATTGCCCAATCAATCTCCATTATCGTGACCTAACTTAATTGCCTCTGCAAAACACACGTTAGTCACAATAATCTAACATTGTCATTAATCACCGAAATCCAATTAGGGGCTTAGATGCTTTCAATCTCCCCCTTTTTGGTGATTGATGACAATACAACCTCGAGTATGTGAAAGAGTTGAGGTTTTAACATGCTTGGATAAATCCAATTAGGGGCCTAGATGCTTTCAAGGTGAGAGGAAGAGAGTACAGATGTTTCTAAGCCTTGTTGCCCACGCCGATGAGGGTAGCGATGATGGTAGGCACCCACAATACTGTTGATGTCACTGTAGAACGTCAGGTGCACATGGGAGGTTGCGTTGGCTTCTTCAGGAAGGGTGGATGTCGGTACTTGCAAAATACTATTGGTGTGTGAGGAGCCCTACCCTGTGTACCAGGTATGGTGAACCCTGGCGCCCACTATCGATGCCTAGAGGTATGTGGGAGGCTTTTTGCCGTATGGGAGCCCGATGGCACCTCCAATACTGTAGACACAAATGTCGGCGCCTACAGTACTGTTTGTGTCAGGGTGGTTGAGGAGCACTGTTCCCGCAGGCGTACAGGGTATGGTCCCGGTATCGAGGTTTGACTTTGTGCACTGCCTTCTCCGTTTGCCCCTGGTCCCTTTTGAGCAAGTGTCCCCGGTCGGATGGTTGAATGGCTGGCCTGGCCGCGCCAGTCGAAGAAGAGTGGTAAGCAGACTTCCTACGGGTCTCCGGTCGGAGACGCGGGGTCGGAGTAGGAAGCGGTGCTTTGGGCTCGGCCTTTCCGATCGGGGAGACCGCCCGGAGGCGGCTGGTGCCCAAAGCAAATGCTCTGGTCGGAGAGGTGGGCCGGAGAGCTTGACGAGCGAGCGCCTGTTTTTGGGTAGACCTTCCGGTCGGCGACCGGACTGTCCCTCCGGCCCGTCGTGTCTTAGGCTCTTGGGCCGGCCCACGAACTACATGATGTTTTCCTAGGCCGAGCCCTGGCATAGAAGCCGGTCCTCGAGGGACCCCGGGTTTATGAACCCGACATATTGAGTGTGGGCTTGGTGTAATGCGGTAAGGATGAGCTTGGGCTCATCATCATCCGAAGATGAGGATGAATCTAAGAGAGAGACGACTCATTTTCGGTGGAGAATGAACAACAAAGTAGAGAAGGAGCAACAAAACGAATGAGACGGTGTATGAACCAGGTGAGTGTGCAAGTGGAAGCATATATAAAGCTAACCTCAGGGGCCGTTGGAATATAGACGTTTGAAATAGATCCATTTGAATATAGTAGGAGCAACAAAGTCATTGGAATATGGCCTTTTGAAAGAGCTGTTGCAAAAATAGTTGTTGAAAAAAAAACCATTGGAATATAGACATTGAAAATATAACCGTTAAAAATATAGCTGTTGCAAACGGTTGATTTGTTAGTTAGAAGATATGAATAAAATAGAGGTGAGTGAAAGTAGGGAGACAGATATAAGGGATCAGTTGGAGTTCACAGATAAGTAGGAGTTGGAATCCGAATGAGGGATCCCTACTTTGAGAGATAGGGGGTCAAATTTTGAGGGTTCCATTGGAGATGCTCTTATATAGCTATATATATGACACCTCTTGTAGCAATCCACGATTGATGAGGGAGATATAATAATGGGAAATTGTATATTGAGTGATGAGCATTACTAGTATTACCTATCTTGTGTGCATTAATAATTGTGTGAAGGTTAAGGTAGATTTTCTTAGTATATCTCTAGTTAGTAGTTTTCTCACATGTTTAGTGTAATGGGCTAATGGCCCTAAAGACTTTTTAGTGTGCTTTTATAGAATCTCTAGGGCTAATAGGCTAAAGTTATTGCTTTAATTTTTAAACCCCCTTTCTTGAGGCTATTCAATCCTTACATACAAGCACACAGGGGCAGCCGTGATGTAACTAGCTATAAGCGAGACGATATAGGATCATTGTTTTGATAGATCAGTCAAAGTATAAGAGCATCACAAATTGACAGTTGGTGAGATGAACTTAGGAATAGCATGGAGTTGCCGAAGACAAGGAAGAAGGGTGGTGGTGAATCTCGCATAGGTGAAACGCTTGAGCGTACTATTTCAAAAGGCAAGGCTTGGTAGGCGGTAAGGCTCTACCCAGCGCCTAAGTGAGCCTACGCTTGACCAGGGATTTGTATTTTTAGTGACATGTTAAACAGTGAGAATTGGCATATTGAAAATAACGAATTTGAGATTATCATTTGTACTCCCTCCATTTCAAATTATAAGACATTTTGGCTTTTCTAAATACGTTGCTTTTGCTATGCACTTTTTTTTAATAGTTTTGCTATGCATTTAGATACACTATGTCTAGATACATAGTAAAAATAATATATTTAGAAAAGCCGAAACGGTTTGTAATTTGGAAAGAGGAAGTACTATTCTGGTAAATACGTTACGAGGGACTTTAGTTACCACTGAAACACGCAACTACTCCCTCCGTCCCAGAAAGGAAGACGTTATGGGATACGTGCAGGTCAAACTTTCTCAACTTTAACTAGGTTCGTAGAAAATATATATAAAATTTATATCTCTAAATAAGTTTATTATGAAAGTATATTCAACTACTAATTATGTATTATAAACATTAATATTTTTATATATAATTGGTTAAAGTTAAAAAAAAAGTTGACTTATCATGAAACGAGTCTTCTGTCTTGGAACTGAGGGAGTATATGATAATTGAACGTCATGAATCAACATATGACCACGCCACTATTCGTCGTCCACTTGAATTCTTTTTTATAGCTAGTAGCTAGTCTTATTAATTCCGGTGTGGATCGACTCGCGCCTGGTCATGCCAGTCACCGTTTTTTTACCCCCCACAGCTTTAGCTTTTCTATACATTTCTATCTTCCGCGAGTCCGCACCCGATCAGTGGTGGACGTAGTTAAACATGAAATTTTTTTACCTTAGCTATATATAAGTGCCTCCCTGGGCTTCGTGCCTCCTGGGCTTCACGCCTGGCCGACGACCCAGGCACGGCCCTCTGGGCCATTTTTCGTGCCGTGCCGGTCCAAGAAGCACGGCCAAGCTAACAGGCCGGGCCGGCCCATGCCCTGTTTCAGCAGGGGAAGGGGAACAGAGGACGTCGTCGGGAGCGCGACTGCGTGGAGGAGGCGGCAACCACGGCTCGAAGCCGGCTGCGTGCTCGACGGGAGGTCGGGAGGAGGCCGCCGCCGCATGAGATCGGGAGGAGCCCTCGGAGCCGAGGAAGGAGGCGTGGAGAGATAGGCGTCGGGTCGTTGGGGCACAGTCGCCGGCTCGCCGCAGACGTCGCCAAGGGAGGAGGGGAGCCGTCGCCGAGCTTGCTCCCACACGAGGCAGAAGCGATGCTAGGGCAGGAGAGGAGTGCCGCAGACATCGCCCGAGGCAGGAGCGGTGCTAGGGGCGTGTGACGCGAGCGAGCAGAAGGAGGCGATGAGCCGAGTGCGGCGGCGTCGAGTGAGAGGGGCCGGGAAGTTAGGGTTAAGGGAGGAGGCACGGTGGGCTTTTGTGGGAGCAGGTGCTGGACTGCTGGGCTGTTGCCCTGTGCAGCTGGGGCTTCCTCACCGGGCCTTTCGCCATTTATCAGGCTGGGTCGTGCCGCCCGGCGCGCCTGGGAAGCGGCCCAGGCACGGCCTGCTCCCTCGGGCCGTGCCAGCCTGGGCCCGCTGGCCATCGGGCCAGGCCGTGCTTGGGCCAGGCAAAAAAACGGGCCTCGTGTTGGGCTGACGGGCTCGGGCTGCATGCCTGTATATATATAACCCCTCTCATAGCAATCCACGATTGCCGAGGGAAATATAATAATCGAGAATTATATTCAGCGATGAGCTTTACTGTCGTCCTTATCTTGTGTACATTAGTCATTGTGTGAAGCCTTGCCAAACGTGCACATGTGAAACAGCTTGTGAAGTCAAAACCAAGCTAAAAACAGTACAGCCAAAGCCATTTTCACCTAGAAGTCGAAGCAACAGAAATATGGCTTTTTTCTATCAAGAGGGCCTTAGTATATTTCTGTAATTAAGATGTGTTTTGAATCCCATAGGTTAACAACCGGTAGCTAGGTAATGTTATCTGAAACCTTAGACGAGCCATAGAGGTTTAATGTTGTCTAAATCTCAGATTTTAAATCACAGACGGTTTCTAGTCTAGGAAAAAACGCAGTCATAAGACCTCAACACAAACATAACTTTACTGATTAGAATCATAAAACTAGGTCCCTTAATTAATTAAGATTGTATAAAGACCTAATTATAATATGGTGGAGACAAAAAATCATACGACAAAATCATGATTTTGACAACAGTTACAATAAACCGCAAAGGGGTCAATTGCCATAGCTGCCATCACGCAAATTTGCATCATAATAGCGCTCCAAATTGCTACCGAAACTGGAGCGCATGTACGTCTGGTGTCGGAGCACAAACTCTGGTCATTATCGTATAAACCAAGCAACTGCTGTTAAACATCCTGGGAATCGTGATTTTCAATCAGAAATTTACTAACTGGAACAAATAATGGAGATTGCAACAGTCACAGCTTTATTAATGCCAGTCGTGAACAGTAGCAGAGATTGCAGAGCAACCATGTTTTTAGCAGACCCAACGTCCTCCAATAGGGTAATGACTAACGACCCGACTCCAAAATACCATGAAAGACAACCGTCAATACAAAGACCGTAAAACAAGTGCAAGGCTGAACTGAGGCATCCTCCAAATTGGTATTTTTATTTCTGCTGTCCGGGGTAGTGTTTAGCTTGTTTGCCGCACCTCATACTGGTGGCAAATCCTCAATGGCGTCTCGTTGGACACTGGTCTTTCCTCTGACCAGAGCTCCATATTCAAATCACCAGTTCCCCAGTGCACAAAGCATTTGCTAACCTCCCTGGGATTAAACCGATTCACCAAGCTCAGCCCGACACACTTGTCCACTAGCATCCATTCCCCTGAGAATTTGCCAAAAGTAAATGAGTTAACAGAGACGGGCGGCGGTGGAAGGGTCTTCAAATTGTACAGAGTAAGTTACCGTTGGGTCTGAGGTCTCCCTCGAATGTTATTTCTCCTGCCTCCAGGGAGATCTCTTGCTTTGAACCATTGATGGCCGTGAAAGCAACCACTACCTCAGTTGGGTGCAGCAGGGTGAATGTAGGATGAACTCGTAAACAGACCAACCTTCACAGTGAAAACATAATTCAATGTTTCAAAATATATTCTTGAAAGAATCAATTGGACAGTTAAAAAACATTACAAATAACCTCACGCAACAAATCCATGCATTACAAAAGAGTGTCATTTTGAGTTGCATAGATCGCCTCCTGTTCAACTCCTCCACCACGGTCACCATAGGCAATGGACACAAAGCCCAGTTCTGGCACCACGCCTGGCTACAAGGTGAAGCACCCAGGTATCTAGCGTCTAACTTTTTCAAGCTGGTGCGCAGAAAAAATAGGATGGTACACCAGGAACTACTCAGTGGGAACTGGATCAGATCATTGCGGGCACGATTACTTAATGTGCAGCTGCAGGATGATGTGCAAGACTCGATCATTTGGAAGTGGACGGCTGATGGTATTTACTCCACTCACTCGGCATATAGAATACAATTCCGAGGCTCACATCGAACATTTCAGCATGATCTCATCTAGAAGGCGCAGGCAGAAAATAAATGCAAGGTATACGCCTGGATCCTCATGCATGGCAAAATTCTAACGGCTGACAATTTACAGAAGAGAGGGTGGCCGCATCAGGAACACTGCGTCTTGTGTAATGGGCCGCTGGAGACAGGAGTTCATCTATCTTTGCTCTGTCCTTTCGCAAGAGCTGTTTGGGACCAGGTTCTGTCCTGGAAGAATTTCAGGGTGCATCTCCCACAACAGGACCCTACAGGCATGGCTAAATGGTGGGAGGAGGCAAGCAAGGTGCCCAAACAGGAACGCAAGCGGTTCAATGGAATACTCATTTACATTGTGTGGAACCTGTGGAAAGAGAGGAATAGGAGGATCTTCGAAAACACCCACATGACGGCGCAGCAGGTGGCGTCGTTAGCAAAAGAGGATATAATGCAAAGACGTAGGGCGATGACAATTGCTGGGTGAATCCTTTTAGCAGGAGGATTTGATCTCTCCTACTTGGGTCCTAGGACCATTGTGTATTGCGCCAGGGGGCGCCATTTGTGGATAAAACTCTAAACTCTTTCTCTTACTTAATTGAGTGGCAGAGCTCCTGCCTTTTATTTCAAAAAAAAAAAAGAGTTGCATACACTCCACACATTAAAACTTTGACAACCAATTCCTGTTGAATACTTTTGTTGGAAGTTTTGAAATGGATTAACTAGATTTGTGTTGAAATCTACTTCCAAAATATTCAAATTTGCTATATTTTGCATACATTTCACAATGGTAATATGCGATCAAAGTAGAGCACTAGTGATTGTATAGATGTACAAAATGACACTTTTTAATGAGTGAAATAGCTAATTTTTTTCTATAAATAATTGAGCCAAGCATATTAGATGCAAGCTCCAAAGCAAAGAAACATAGACATGATCAAGGATAAGGTCAGCTGATGCCTGGAACCAAACGAGCATAATGTTCTGTTTCTGGTGTCATTTTTGTTCTGTAATGTGTCTAGTCCATAAACAGCAGTAAGTAGCACCTATATTTCAGCAACATAGGAGAGGAAAGAGTCCAGGAGGGCAGTGCTAACGTGGGCATAATCATAACGTCATGCAGTCAGTTGTCATAGAATAGCTTCACAGCAGTTTAGGCATGGGCTACGAACATGCAGGCTAACCATTGCCCCTCTTTCTTCCTTTCTTTGTTTTTTTGCTTGCTCAATTGCTCTTAAAAAATTCATTTCTTCTAGACTAAGCTATAAATTGTATAAAATATTTTTTCTGCTCAAGCTCTTACTTTGAATTCCAGCAAGATCTACTAGAAAAATTATAAAGGGGTTGACCTTCAATCCTTCATTTTGTCACACTTGAGTTCAAATCATGAGCAGAGAGAGAGAAATCAAGAATGTATAATGACGGCAGAAGGGCACCTATGTTCCTGGGTTTTTATCTTTTGTTCGTTTGGTTGTTGAGGTCAATCAATATGGTTTCCCTGGTCTTCTTCAAGCAACAGAGACTATCAGTGATGTCATGGAATTGTTTGCTAGTGGTGGGCAAAGGAAAGATGGAACGGTGGCAAGCAGTGGCCACCAGTGATTCAGGCCCAGACATGCCAGTAGCCCAGTACCAGAGTTCGAGGCAGGGTTAGTGGGAGAACAAAAGGAATATATTTTCCCCTTTTTTCCATTCACTGGCCTATAGGGCTCACAATGTGGCCGATGGCATGCCAGTGAGGTTACAATGTGGTGGATTATTTTTGCAAAACATAATCCAATTTATGGACCACCTAGAATATGTTTTGCACTAATTTTAACTATTGAAGGACCTGAAGTACACTGCTGGAGTTGAGAACAGAATCTCCACAAAATTGCTTTCCATGCATAAGGTGTTGTTGTACGCAATCATTTTGGAGACTTTATATCTGCTTCTTGCCAAAAGAGGCACGTTCTTGCTGATCCTGAGTTAGCAGAAGCAATAGCAGTCCTCCTTGCTGTGGTTTATGCGAAGAATTTGAACCTTCAGCATGCTATAATTGCTTCGGATTGCTTGAGTGTTGTCAACAAGATTAAATCTCCCATACTTGACAGATCCATTGTAGGTCCCGTTGTCCAGGATATTAAAAACTTAGTTAAGGGGACTCCTTTCACTTTCATCCATATTACTAGAGGATGTAATGAGGCAGCTCATGTAATTGCTAGGTTAGCTAATCAGTGTGCCGGATCAACTTGGTGTAATGTGGCTCTGGAATCTATCCGGGCTATCCTTTGTAACGATCAGTTAAATTAATATAAAACTGCCTTTCAGTTTCAAAAAAAAAAAAAGAGCATTCTGGTGGTGTGCTTTGTGGTTGAAATTATGTTGGTTGCAGAGTTGCACAGAAACTCATCAAGGATTTATCAGAGTAATTTCATGGGAGAAGAAGGGCCCTCACCTTGAAAACCCACCAGAACCAGCTCCTACACTTCTTGCCTGAATGCTGGAGTCGATCTGAACAATCTTTGGGTTGTCCTTCAAAATAGATATCTGGCGCTGGAGAACCAGACCACCACCAATGTCTCCTTCCATACAAATAGATTCCTCCTCTCCAGATTGTTCAAGATACCTCCTACAGTTTTTTTGAACTTAAAGTTATTTAGTGGACAAAACTGGAACTAGACAAGAAATATGTAACAGGAAACAAATAACCACATGGACAATTAGTCTGAAATGATTACTTCAGTTACCTGATGACTTTGTACTCTTCTGTGCAACCAGCAGACCTATATTCAGTCCCACTGTATTCTTCATAACCATTTATCTCAATCCTGCTGTGAAGCCACTGGGAATCTGCAAATATCAATTATAAATTATACTCAAGCTATGCTGGATAATAATTAACAAGTGATACTCAAAGCTAATGATAAATTAACATGATCTATTCATAATGCATTTGCATGACGAAAGGATATACAAGTATAAAACCTTCACAAAGAACATAGATGGATTTTAAAGTATGTCAGGAAAAGTACGCATCAGAAAATAAACAAGGATATCTCTATTTCTAAGATAAAAAATCATTAACACATTGCACATGTGATTGTGAAGCATACCAGAAGGAAGATGGGCCATTGAGATAATACGGCCTCCAATCCATGGAACAATCTTAAGGAACCAGTCTCCACTTTTCAAATCAACAGGTATTTTTGATAGCTCAGCACCTTCCTGCCCCGATGGCTCCTCTATATCAGGTATAGGCTGAATCATCTCTGTACAACCATTGCAATGTGCCAGTATAAGACAAGCGGAGACAATTACATGTGTTAAAATTTATGGAAATGACAAATCTTTCCTTCTAGATCTTAAACAGTATAACCATAAATAAGTGGTACGAGAAATACCCATTCGTTTCTTGTGCTCAAATTCGCTAGTTGCGACTAAGCTTGACACTTCAGATTCAGAAGGCATTGTAAGGTGTATTTCTTCACCATCAACACCATCTGTACTTATCTGGATGAAAAAATGTTGTGTTAAAGATAAGTTCGTTTCTTGAGTGAAAAAATAATAATGAAAGGCAATAGGCATACCATAGCACCTCCACCAAGCAATATATTTATTTTTAGATTTCGTTTTGGTCTCTTCCATGACCCTTCCGATTTTAAGACTTTGACAGTAACCACCGATGAGTGGAGTTCAGCAATATAATATGTCAAAAGAAAGTCTCCTTGTGTGAATGCATATCCATCTCCAGCATCTTCAAAGAGGACACCTTCAGCTTTACCTGTAAAACAAGCCAAGCCATTGGCAGATATTATGCACACAGCTTTGAGACAACATTTTAAATCAATATCTTGAACACAAATAAAAGCTAACTAAAGCATAAAAAATAGTTTACATTCTTTTTGAACCATAAATACAGCAGGGGAAGCCCCCACTGTAGAGATTTATATTAAAATAAAATAAACTGTACAGAGAATACGAAAGAAAGGGAAAAGACTACAAGGCTGTACAACTGTACAGAACATGGAGAAGGATAGAAGAGAACAACAGGGGGGGGGGTCAGCCTTGGAGTTCTAAAGAGGACAGAAAGGCACAGATTAATGTGCAGCAGATCAAAATTTTGTTTTCTTATCCATTCAACCACATGACATATTGACATTTAGGTAATGTTTGGTTCGGATGATGGTAACGTGATTTTGATTTGATTACGGAGGGTAATAGATCCATTGCGTGGTGTTTGTTTTAGGCCTCCTGTAATCAGATCATGCTGTTATTGAACATGGGTCTTCCCTAAAGTAATGATGCTCCTACCAGGATGCTATCAAATACTTAGTTGTCATCTTCACAAAAGTGGACTCATCAAATTTGTGGGGTGGAGCAGAGGACGTAGAGCAATCTTTACCGGCGGGTGGCAGCTTGTTGTGGCGACAGTGGCCGCGCAGAGTGGCACTTCGGCATCTCTCCTGGTTATGCACAGCATAGCAGCAGTGTGTGGTTTGCTCACTTCTTGTGTGTTTGCTAGGAGTGTGTGGTTTTCAGTGCTATCAATAGTCAGGCTGCAGCACTTAGACCCAGGTTTAGAGAACTGCAATTTTACAGATTGGTGGTGTCATGCTTTACAGATGGTTCCCAATTTACCTCGCAAGGGCTTCAACTCCTTGGTAGTTTTGGTGGCATGGTGGATTTGTAAACATGGGAATCGGGAATGGCTGTATTTTTTGGGGGTTTTCTCCTAATATTACTGCCATCTTGAGGGATATTAGAGATGAGGCAACGTTATGGTGTATGGCGGGAGCCAAAGCGCTCCAAAGCATATGGACATAATTGTTTTCCTCAGTTGCTGGTTGTGGTTAAGGTTTGTTGGTGAATCCTTTTTGTAACTTCTTTGCCCTTATAGGGTTACGAGTCATCTAGACTCCTTTCTTCTTCTTATATAATGATGGGCAGTTCTCATGCGTGTTCGAGAAGAAAAAAAATGCAAAGCGCGGCAGTGTGAAGGGAAAAAGGATGGCAAGAAGCAGGCAAAGATCTACTCTGGTATGCTGTCACGAGCTACTGTTAACGTTACCAAGGCTAACCAGACAGATCAATTAATTGCTTATGATGTTGATGTTACTACTGTTTATCCAGTCCCTTTACGTTTGTGTTTCCTTATCCCAACCAAACACTACCTTAAATAAAGGATATGAACATCTGATCTTCAGAAAATGAGAAGGTATATACCATTTTCATTCAATGCGATAATTAGTGACAGATCATCCTCCAAACTTGCTTCACCAACATACTTAATAGGAAGACCTACAGGAAGAATTGCTCCACCTTGTAGATACAGCACCGGCAGATCCTACACAATTATCCCTTCAGAAATAATTCTTTGAATAGAATTGAAGTCAGCAAACTAAGAGTTTAGAAACCAACTTACAGGGTGTGAATCCGCAAAATCAAAAGGCAACCATATGCCCTTTGGTAACTTATGTGCACATTCATGAGCTCCTTTATTAGGTAAAGTGCTGCCAAAACAATTGGAAAGGTTAAAGATACCAAAGCATAGAGAAAGATGAAGAAAAATAACACTTGGCATTTTGGCATCTTTTCATCTATATATATTTGATGCCAGATAATTGAACAATTTACAATTTATGATGCAAAATCGTCTCTAACACACAAACATGCACTGAGGAACTGGGCACAGAGCTACATCAAAGCAAATGAACAGGGTCTCAAGAGAAAAGTTAAAAGGAAAGAGCTAATGTCAAATCACTGTTGTGAAGATATTACCTTGCACAGACTAAGAGTGGTCCGAGGAGAAAGGAAGTCTCAACTTTCCTCAGTTCAGGGTCTTGTGGATCTAAAAGAATTGAGGAATGTGACATAATATCTGTTAACAAACTGCAACTGGGGAATATCATCTATTATATAACCCACCAGACAGTCTCCTCTAAGGCTGTAAATATCTTATACAAAGTTTGGATCACAAAAGAAAGGAGGCAGCAACTTGCCACACATCTGTGTTCTTCCTACAAACTACCAGCATCTGAGCTAACTTAAAATTGGGTGATACAAAGTGAGAGAATTAATTACCAGCAAAGAAAACTGGAGCAGCAACTGGAATACCCTTTGTATGTGAGTGGTAAAAAAGAGTGTAGATATGTGGCAGTAGCCGGTACCGTCTTAGTAGCGCAAGGCGACAGACTTCCTCACACTGAAAGATCAAAGTTCTCCAATCAGCCAATGCTTTTTCAATCAAGAAATGATCAATACTAAATAGCCATTTGGAAGCATCATAACAATTGAGTCTTCAAGTTGGTTTTCCCTGATGTAAATGGAGTTGTAAGGGCTGTCGTAGAGGAAGGTGTGCTGTAGACTGTGGTGCGCTGCTGCTGCAAAGTGGCTCTTCGAGTTGGTCTCGGCCTTTGACTAGGTTCCGAGTTTGTTAATGTTGAGTCATTGTATTTTAAGTAGTTGGTGGCTAACTCGTTTTAATTGGTTGAGGGTGTGGTGTGGAGTAGGTTTTGTACTTGGTTATTTTTCGTCTTTAATGAAACAATACACAGCTCTCCTGCATATTGAAAGGGGGTAAATACTAAATGGCATGGCCAGAAGGGGCTTTGATTCCCAAGAATATTACATAGAACTCAACCAAATTACCAGTGAAAAACAAGGCGCGATTCCGCGCTCGCCTAGGCGCGACTAGGCGCTGGGCGGAGGCCTCCCGCGGGGCCTAGGGGGTGAGGCGGCATCTAGGCGGTGGGCGCGCGCGTTTGCGGAGGAGGCGGCGCCTGGGCGGGATGCGCGCGCGTTTTGGCGGGCAGGAGAGCGCGCGCGCGAGCGGGCGGCTGCGCGGGAAAGAAAGCGGCGGCGCGGGAAGGATCGATTCGCCGGCCACGGTACGTCTCCGGCCGATTCGTCGTGCGCGAAGTTTGTACTTGACGCCGTGGACCCGTTTTCCGCATCACCGGCCATCTTCTCCCTCCGTGCAGGCCTCCTCGCGCCGCCGCCCCTGGAGCTCCCGTGCGCCCCCTCCTCACCGGGCCGCCACTGCTGGTGAGCTCCACGCCTCACCTGCCTCGCTGCCCCTTGCCCCGCCTCTCGGGAACCCCAAGGTGAGGTCTGCCCGCCCCCTGCTCCTCTCTCCTCTGCTCGGCTGCTCCTTTCTATCTTCCTGCTCTGTACGCCTAGAAAACGCCCAGGCGCGTCTAGGCACGACTAGGCGCTAGGCGATGGGTCACCGCCTAGAAACCGCCTAGCGCCTAAAAAAACATTGTAAATTACCAAACAAAGACATGCTATCACAATATTTCGGACTTCAATTCTTCTTGTTCTTGTTAGTATATACAAACAGTTGTATCCAAAATAATCAGCTATAAGCACCAGCTCATTAAGAATTACAAGATATAAACAGTGTCATCCTGGGAAAACATAGGTATTTGGGAAAAATGAAGTGGAGTAAGTAACGAAAATAACAGGGTTAGAGAGCAGTTAACACGTAAAATGGAACTTATATGTTTTAACCTAAGTTTATATTAACAAAATATTTACATATACTATACTTCTTGCTGGATAAACTAAATTGCCTCAAAACATTGATCACTTGCCTGTTTCTTTGACGTCCTAAGATCCATTTCATTAAACTACTAAAAATTTGACCATCAATATGATTAAAATCATGTACACTGGTTATTTTTTGATAAAGGAATGTGGCTACAACTTGGACACTCAACCATGGAAAGTAAAGAAAATGATAAAAAATAAAAAGAACAGAGCAGATTTGCTGCCATGGCAAGGTACATCTTAACTACAAAATTGTATCTCATAAGTTAAATCCGAGTGTACAGCATTAACAAGAAGAACACAAGATGACAAGAAATAAGGCTAAGCCCACAAGATTAAGCTACCTATGAACATATCTAGCCTACACAGCAGCAGAAATTTCTAGCACAGCAATAACCCCTTGGAACCTTAACCCTTTTACCAGAACAGAAAGAGTGCAGGTTAAATCATGATGTACAGCATAAAGAGTTAACAACTGGCACAAAATGGAGGAAATGCTCAACAGATGTATGGCAACCTCAAGAACAAGCTAGCCTACAGAAACGTGGCAAGTATACTGCACAAAAGGAGCATAATAAAGAAACTGAAATTGAACCATCAACCATGTATTGCATGCATAGATGAAATGCAGTGAAGCAGAAACATGCACAGTGAATCAAGCTTCTTGGAGTGTAGCAAAAATTTCCTGTGTTCTTGAGTACACATGTTTGGATGGCAGTCTGGGTAGCATGATGTAGTACCTCTTCACCAAAGGACCATGGCTCGTGGTCAATGCTTCCAGTTTCTGTATGGCCACGTGAAAATGGAAACAATGCACCCACACCCATCCATCTTCCAAAAAGTTTTGGAGTAGCATTTCCAGCAAAACCACCAATATCAGGACCTGACAATGGTTGACCACTGAGACCCTGATCAGATAACCATATTGTTAGATCATTAGGCCGCGTGAAAGTGCATGCTTAAATTTCACATCTTGTCAGATGAACCACAGTAAAAATAAAGTTTGGCCACTAACAATTTCAGTTTATAAACATCAACATCTCAAGAACAGCCTCCTTAAAACTTTCCGGAAGAACGGTAGAAATGTGACGGAGCACAACTAGTTGAGGAACCAAATTTAACTAATACAGAAGACGATGGTTCTTAACCCTAGCACTTTTGCGTACAGATAGACTTAGGGCCTCTTTGGCACGGCTTATGCCGGCTTCGGCTTCATCTATTTTGTGCAAATCGAGTCACTGTAGCGTGAAGCCGTTTTGTAAGCCAGGGTTAAAATGAACTAGAAGCCGGGAAAAGCCAGTTTTTCTGGCTTCACCGGTGAAGCCGTTTTGGATGAGCCGTGCCAAAGGGGGCTTTAGTTGCCTTCACATCACGAGACTGTACATACAGTGAAATCAAATATCACAATAAATTAAATGCTAAAATAACTAGTCACAAAAAATGTCATGAATAAGCATTTGCACCAACGATCAAAGAGCTAGAACAATTTCCTTTTAGGGGCCACAGGGAACATATTTTCAGAAGTAGGAAAGACTAGACACTCCAAAAGTTTCAAGGAACAACTTTGGATATTAGAACAAATGTTTCAATTACCAACTGAAGAACCATTGGTAGACTCATGTGCAGATGCTCCCAATTTGAAAGATTATCACCAGTCCATGTTGCAGCATAACGCTGGCTTCCTATAAAACCAGCTCGTGTAAGAACAAATGGCCGTTTAACTGCATTGCCCATTTCCATTCCTTTATAGGTAGATCTCGCCATTAGCATTCCGTAGACCTGAAAATTATATACACTAAAATATATGAACATAGAAGTAGAAAGAAAAATATGTGCCCTAATGCCACTGTCATTAGCCACTTTCATGGCAAGGGAACAAAAACATACATTGTGATAGTATGGATGATTTTGAACACCACCAATATCAGCATCTCCCCTATGGATATTGCTTTCAGGCATTGTCTTCGTGGTAGTCTACAAATTTAGATCAGCACATTCAGTTACATAGGAAAAATTGAACAATGCAATATTAATTATGTGTCATGATAGATCACGTACGTTGAAAACAGCAGGTTCATTCATATCATTCCATATTCCATCAACACCATTAGAGATGAAGTCCTTTACCAAACTAGCCCACCAAGCTCGTGTTTTTTCAGATGTATAATCAGGGAAAACACAATCACCAGGCCACACCTCCCCTGAATGTAGACTATATGAGGCATAACCTCCTAACGTTTAAGAAAATGACGATGAATCTTATTTAAGTCAGTGATACATACCAACGAACGGGCTGCCATCTGCCTTTTGAATCCAAACATCGCTTTTTGAGCCACTATCATAAACAAAGTAACCCTCCTCTTTCTTGATCCCTGGGTCAAGCATCCAGATTGCTTTGCAACCAATGGAATGGAGATCGTCCACCATTGATTTTGGATCAGGGAATCGGATCTGTAGCACATCAATAGCAAAGTGCTCAGACAGGATTCAAGAAAATCAATTATCATAGTAAATGATTTGCCTTCAAAAGAACACCATAAAGGTTAGCTAAAAAAGTGCATGATGATAGGAAAAAAAATAACTGGAGGCTCTAGTAAACATTCCGAAGCAGTATAAATATAAAGTTCTAAAACAAGAGAAGACAAACACAAATCAGTGGTTAAAGTGCTCCTATGTAGCAAACACAACAGATCCAGTACTTACACTATCAAACGTGAAGCACCTAAAACCATCCATATAGTCAATATCCATCCAGACAACATCGCAAGGAATGCCTTTCTCCCTAAATGTTCTAACAATCTGTGGAAGCAAAAAATAACCAAGCAACACTAATTCAGTATAAAATATTATCAAAGTATTCTTATGTCCCAAAATGAACCATGTGACAAATATGTAAAGCACATGACAAATGGTTTGATTAACTTCAGATGGCCCATGAAAAGGAGCATAGTTCTTTCCAATAACATGGTTTATTTTCCAACTTACATAAGAAAAAAAAAACTTCATCTCTAGTAATAAATGTTTTCTACTTCAACTTATGAAGATTATCACTGTGTTTGAAAAGCACACCATGCTTTCATGCATTTCCTTTGTCACTACATGTATGTTCAAACCTTTTTACTTTTCCAAGCCCTGAATGCAAGACTTTGACCATAGTTTATATATTACTTCTAAAAATAATAAGTATATATACCATGAAAATATATTACATTAAAAATAATAAGTACATATACTATGAAAATATATTCCATTAAAAAATTACTTGTGTAATTTGTATATAGTCACATATATATAGTTTTACATTTGTAGGAGAATATAGGTATAAGTGGTAAAAAGTTTCAAAACTTTGAAACGAGGATTCCAGATGATACATATTTAGCAACAGTGGGGCTAACAGATGAATAAGGAAAACAAAAACAGGAAGCCTTGAGCATCTGATGTTGAAGTACAGAAAAATTATTGAAATCATTAAAGGTATAGCATATAGGCAGGAATTATATGGATCCCACAAATTCTCTGGCAGTGTACACTGCTCATCAATTCTTACTTCATATAGGCACATGATTGTTGTTTGCATTTGGAACTAGAGTAAGTGAAGATACTAAAATGAACACTGCATCAACACTAACAGGACCACCCACACACTTTATCCATCATAATTAAAGATTAGGAGTAGCTGCCACTGAAACATTACATTAATACTTCCTTCAGAAAAGGAAATACACATAGATAAAGATAATGCACTCTGCTAAGAAAATACCTTGAGTACTTTCTCAGAAGAATCATAGCTCCAACGGCATTGATGATAGCCAAGTGACCATTTTGGTGGCATGGACACAGTACCTATAATGGAAAAAAATTTCTCACCTTATTCGACAACGCAGCAAGTAAAATAACATAGAACATCTAAATTGCATGTTTGTGTTCTACTATGACCAATTAGATAGAGAGAGGGAATGATGCTATCTTATGTAGCTAATGCCTAGTTTGGTAAAAGATAAACTGGAGAGGGAATGACAATATAAGTGGTAAAGATAGAAACCCCAATTCTACTGTGACAGGTATGTCTAAATGGATAAACCAGTGCCAGTAATGTTAGATCGATCAACCAAACAACATTCTACTAATCAACACCTTGATTTTTTATCAAGATTTACAAAATGTATCAAATTGAATAAAATACTTCCTATTATTGCTTGCATTCATATTAGATCAGAGATATACAGCTTCATTGTTTATGAAAGGACTCAACAAAGCATTAACATGAGGGTATATCTGTCCACAGAAATATAGTTAAGAAGTGCCGGAAGATATATTTGTTAAATCAAGGTAGAAATACCGATTGCATGCGACAAAGATGTCATAACATCAGCTGGAGTATTAAATGGCCCAAAAATGATGAGAGGGTAGGCAGATGAGGCAGAGAACTTTATAGTTGATTCTTGTCTCAAATCAATCTGTCACAGTAAAAAACACTCTGTTCAACATACAGATTAGTGAAAATATTAATGTGAACAAATAAAAAAACTTTAGAATGATTTACTCCAACATACCTCACAACGCCGAGAGGTATCAGCAAGGACACCCAATGCTTTTCCATCAGGGAGGACGGCCAAAACCCAAGGGTGTGACTGGTACAATGACGTGGTTCCTGGCCCGAAACCCCATGCATCTGTGTTCCATGTGAAAACCTGATGAAAAAATATCTATAAATCATGACAATATCTAAAGTCTGTTACGTGAGCAGGATGTGCAGAATCAATTTAGCATAACTACTGCTATTTGTAACGAGGGCAGAGCCAGGGCCAGTGCTCGGGGTGCTGCAGCACCAGTCCTAGCCTGTTTGTCTTAGGTGAATCATATAATAGCTGGTCTAAAACCCTAGTATTTTTACTCATTTCAATTTAGTTTAGCACCTGCTCACTAGATAGCACATCCTTGAAGGGTTTTCTTGTTCTGCCCCTGATTTGTAAAGTTGTACAAGGAACTACGACCTCTGGTAATTATTTCACAAAACCAAAGTTGTTGCATTTTTGTGAAATGGTCAAGAATTCGACCTTTGTTATAATGTTAATGGTTGCAGTTTTGAGATGAAGAGAGGCAGAGGAAGACCGAAGTTGACTTGGGTAGAGGCAATAAAAGGAGACTTGAAAGGATGGAATATACCCAAAGACTTAGCCTTAGATAGGAGTGCTTGGAAGACAGCTATTCATGTGCCTGAACCTTGATTGCTTCTGCTGGGTTTCAACTCTAGCCTACCCCAACTTGTTTGGGACTTAAAGGTTTTGTTGTTGTTGTGGTTGCGGTTTTGAGAAATCAACACAAATATATAATATATAGTTTCTTAAAGCAGATGCCATACTCGTTTCCCAGTCCGTTCAAGTGGGCCACTCGCTTCTCCAGTACCATAGAAAGATGTCCCAGGAGGAAGCTGCTTGATTAAAAGAAAACAAGTGAGCCTCCACACATCTGTTTTTGTGACATGTTATAGTCCCAGGTAGATAATATTACAGGAATGTACACATCAAGAATAAAACAAAATACAATTCATAGTTTAGCATTATCAGGGATAATAAAAACGTGTTGAAGGCAAAAACTGGAACAAAAATCCATCACTGTCCTGGGGTTCAGGCATCCCCTTTAGCCAAACAACTGTTACCAACATGTTGCAGTGTTTCAAGTCATCACAGAAATCATGTTTGTAGGACAGACGAAATTAAATAAACTAGCAAAGAGGTCCAGATTCAGTATGTGAATTATTAAACTGAAAATGGTAGCAACTCCAGTCTACAAAATGGTAAAAAAAAGGATAACAAATGGGCTGAGTGGAGTTGAATGCTTCAAACTGAAATGGTTGCATCACTGTGGTGAGCATGACAAGACAACGGCCTACTTTTTACACGATCAATTGCCCAAAGGACCAACCATGCAAATAGTTCGAGTTAGCTTAGCAATTTTGACTTGCATCAAAACTCAAAAGGTGGTCATATGCTTTCAGGGATGGTGGTAATAAAACGTCGACCCCTTCTGCGAACAATCTGAATATTTATGTGGATCTGCAGCATGTATATTATCTTATCATGGATTCATGGTACCCCAATGCGTGCATCTGTTAAGCGTGCAACCTCGCAAGGAAAGGAAGGAGAAAGTCCTGCGTCAGATACATACCCATGTCTTAGAGGACCCATCGCAGCAGTGCTACGTCATCAAGGCCAAAACCAAACAGATAATGGGATCAATGGATCAACATTTCACGCGCTCTCCCGATCAGCAACAGGGAACCGTCCAAACGACCAACACCCAGCAGCACAACGATAGCGAGCGATCTGATAATCTACCACCCAGACTCCCAAACCAACGGCCAGTACACGCGTGCGTCGCCGTGGCGTACCTTTATCACGACCTTCTGGGCTCCCTCCGCTGCGACCTCGAACGCCGGGACCACGGCGGGCGTGTCCGCCCCGTTCCGCGGCGCCTCCCGCCGCCGCGGGTCCGCGAACGAGAGGCTGGGCCCCGCCGCGGCACGCGCCGCCTCCGACGCGTCGAACCGGAACACGCCATCCTCAAGCACCCGCGCCCACACCATGTCCCCCGCCGTCTCCGCGGCCATCCTGCCCTCCGCCGCCCCCGCAGCAGCAGCAGGCGCGGTCCCGCCGCAGCACCTGCAGTTAGAGGCATCAAGCAAGCAATGAGTGAGGGGTGAGGCACTGAGCCCGATCGTTCGGCCCCTCGTCGCGGGTCTCCAGTGGTAGTGGATCGGGGGCGGAGGAACACCTGAGAGTGGGTCGCCGTGGCCCGGCGCCGCCTCGTGACTCGTGCGCACGGTGGAAGCGGAAGTGGAAGCGGAAGCGCGAGTAGTGGGGGACGAGGCGGAGTGATGCGGTGTTGCAGTTGCAGGTGGTGCGCGTGGGCGTGGCGAGCATCTCCTCTTGTACAAGGGCCGCGCGGCCGGCCGTGCGTGCGTGGATTCTGGTTTGTCTAATGCGAGGGGCCGGGGGTTGGTGGACTCTACTAGTAGACAGGGGCACAGGTAAGGATGCCAACGGGGATGTAGCCGTCGCATTACCGGAAATTCGTTCTGCCCCGGTCTCCGTTAACTGTGTCGGTATAGATTCTTGTTCATCCTTATATCTATCGGGCATCGGTCGGATAACAGATATCCGACGGGTACTGCATACCTGATAAACAAGAACACTTGTAGTTATAACTTTACAATCGGAGACGTTTCTTCTTCACCCGAGTATAAGTGTCGGAGTCTCAGAGATGCCGAGGAGGAGGAGCGAGGTTGCAAGGAAGACGAGCAAAGGTGGCAGAGAGATCGAACTGAGGAAGCGAGGGGCACGAGCGCTCGTGAGGCAGGCGTGCTTGTGCTGCTGGCAGAGATGGTGAGGAAAAATTGAATTATGGTTCCTAGAACACATAAACTATATATATGATTGTTCAGATTTGGGCCAAAATATCTATGTTGAGCTTTTTTGGGTCTAATACTCGCATGACAGCTCAAATAGTCGGGTTCCCCAACGGGTAACGGGGATGGGTAAACAGGAGAACGTTCCAGTATCCACTATACCTGTCGGGGATAGATTCTTGCCCATTTAAATGCTCACGGATAAAGATATAATCACATCTTATTTTTTAATGGATCAAATATCCGTCGGATATCGGGTATCGAACCCGTTGTCATCTTTAGCCACGGGGCGGAGCGGGGTGGAGTCGGGAAGGGCCTCAGGGGAGTCGAGCCTCGAGAGGAATGGGAGAGGTTTGGGTGGATGCGATTGGGCCAGATGTATGACGCTACCGGGCTTCCTAATTTTTTACTATTTAATCTTTTTTTAATAAAATTTACGTTTGACTTCAGAAACTTAAACTCATTTTTTATTTAGATCGGCGCCATGATTCTTGGTACCTACGTCATAGGTAACTAGTCGTGCACATAACAAAATCCTACGTGGCGATAGCTCGGCGCCATCGTTTTTGCAGCGATGGGATTTTCTCCCATGCGTTGGCCGACCCAAGTCTACAGAACCAAAGCTTCGAGAATGTCGCCATCGAAAGAATAGACTTTTCCCCTGCGATGAGAATGAGATGCGAAAAGGATATCCTGTGATCATGACAGCTAGCGTCTACTGTATTTTCTAAGGTCTAGTTTAGTTCCGGAAAATTTTGTTAAATTTTTAGATTTCCCGATACATCGAATCTTTGACACATGTATGAAGCATTAAATATAAATAAAAAATAAAACTAATTACATAGTTTAGACAAAATTCACGAGACGAATCTTTTAAGCCTAATTTTATGATTGGACACTAATTGTCAAATAACAACGAAAAATGCTACAATACATTTTGCAAAAAAATTTCACCATCTAAACATGCCCTAAGCCACGGCAGGATCAGTGTGTGCAGATCGCGGGCAACCGCAAAACACGGGCGGCCGCTTTGGATTGTGGCTCCTACTAGGCATCAAACAATAGTTTTGACTCCCGGCGTCGTCGATGGTGTGTCGTCATGACAGTGTCTGGATTATGAATACTTACTTATCTGGTTAATTATTTTGCAACTAGTTAACGGGAGGTCACGTCGTCCCATCCTGCAAGGCATCACCACTGTTGTCATTTTATTTGACTTTTCGACATTATTTCCATCAATAGTTAAAGCATTTTAAAACGAAAGGTACTGGAGTTCATTTAAGTTGATACTGTACATACAGTACTGGAGTTCATGCAGTTTAGGCCGCGTTTAGTTGCCGGCGGAAGTTGGCGCCGCCGGAAGCCAGAAAGAGAGGTTGCATTTCGTTTGTAATGGGTAATAATTGTCTAATCGTTGATTAATTAGGTTCAAAACGTTCGTCTCGTAAAGAACAATTAAATTGTGCAATTAGTTTTTGATTTTATCAACATCTAGTACTCCATACATATACCATAAGTTTAATATGATGAGAAATCTTCTTTTTACATAGTGATAAAGTTTAGATTTTTGTGAAACTAAACGTGGCCTTACTTTATTTTTCTTCACCGTGCCGGATGAACGATACGGGGCTGTTCGGCTGGTGGGATTTTCTCCCATGCGTTGCCAACGTTTTTGCACTGGATTTTCTCTTTCATGCTATTGATCGACTGTGTAGGATTTTCTCCCATGGCCGACAACGCATTGATGGCCGGCGTGCAGGTGCAGAGGAGGCGTGCGCCTAGTACGTGCTAGACATGGCGCTGATGCGTCACTAGTATCTCTACAGTGCAGGTTCAGTGGCTAGCTTCACGCCAGGTTCAGGACCTGAGACTGCTCTGGCCATCGCTGCCCACTCCGTCGCCTACGCCTATGCATGAAAACGGTACGGATATTTATTTGATCGTTCGTTCGTTCGATCGAATAAATATGAACACTTATCTAAATAGTTACTTAGATATCCGTAATTTTTTCAGATATGAATAATAAAACGGATATCTTAGGCGGATATCAAATACGGATGTAATATCATCGATATCCGACGGATATCGGATAATCCGGTTAAGTATCGGATATATCCGGATATTTTCAAACGGATATTATCCGGATATTATTCAAACGACCTTGGATGGAGAAATGATCAAAATAAAAATTGTAGATCTCAAAAAGTTATGAAACTTTGCTGTTTACAACTTTTTCGTTTGAAATCATTTAGTACTTAAAAATTTAAACCGTCCAAACTTTCTCAAATAGAAAACTAGTTTATAGGCGTCAAAATTTAAAATTCACAAATTTGAACCATCCAAACTATCTTAAATGGAAAGTTGACCAAAACAACAATTGTAGATCTTGATGAGTTGAACAAACTTGGTATTCAAAACTTTTCAATTTGAAGTCATTTAGAGTTCATAATACTAGAGTCAAAGTGTTGTTTTTTCATTTCACCAAATTTGACTTGGTCAAACTTGTTCAAATGAGACACTAAATGACCTCAGATGAAAAAACTCTGAATACCAAGTTTGATCATCTCAGCAAGATCTACAATTGTTACATAGCTCATTTTCCCATTTGAGAAAGTTTTATCAAACACTAGTCACAAATTCTTGAATCTCATATAGACTTTCTGAAACTATGTCACACACTTATAGACTTTCTGAAACTATGTCACACACTTGTGAAATTTGAACTATATTTTGTTCAAACTTTCTCAAATGAAAAAATGGCCTATATAAGGATTGTAGATCTTGATGAGATGAACAAACTTAGTATTCAAAACTTTTCAATTTGAGACAATCTAGGGTTCCGAAAACTAGTTTGTAAACGTCGAAATTTAAAAATCACAAATTTGAACCGTCCAAACTATCTCAAATGAAAAGTTGACCAAAACAACAATTGTAGATCTTGATGATTTGAACAAACTTGGTATTCAAAACTTTTCAATTTGAAGTCATTTAGAGTTCATAATACTAGAGTCAAAGTGTTGTTTTTTCATTTCACCAAATTTGACTTGGTCAAACTTGTTCAAATGAGACACTAAATGACCTCAGATGAAAAAACTCTGAATACCAAGTTTGATCATCTCAGCAAGATATACAATTGTTACATAGCTCATTTTCCTATTTGAGAAAGTTTTATCAAACACTAGTCACAAATTCTTGAATCTCATATAGACTTTCTGAAACTATGTCACACACTTGTGAAATTTGAACTATATTTTGTTCAAACTTTCTCAAATGAAAAATGGCCTATATAAGGATTGTAGATCTTAATGAGTTGAACAAACTTGGTATTCAAAACTTTTCAATTGGAGACAATCTAGGGTTCCGAAAACTAGTTTGTAAGCATCGAAATTTAAAAATCATAAATTTGAACCATCCAAACTATCTCAAATGGAAAGTTTACCAAAACAACAATTGTAGATCTTGATGAGTTGAACAAACTTGGTATTCAAAACTTTTCAATTTGAAGTCATTTAGAGTTCATAATACTAGAGTCAAAGTGTTGTTTTTTTATTTGACCAAATTTGACTTGGTCAAACTTGCTCAAATGAGACACTAAATGACCTCAGATGAAAAAACTCTGAATACCAAGTTTGATCATCTCAGCAAGATCTACAATTGTTACATAGCTCATTTTCCCATTTGAGAAAGTTTTATCAAACACTAGTCACAAATTCTTGAATCTCATATAGACTTTCTAAAACTATGTCACACACTTGTGAAATTTGAACTACATTTTGTTCAAACTTTCTCAAATGAAAAAATGGCCTATATAAGGATTGTAGATCTTGAATCCATGACCATGACTCCATGAGACCCATGAAGCTATGAGCTTGGCTATTTCTACTCATGTCGCGAAGATTGGTGCCTGTATGATGTTTGATGTATGATGTATCTGTATCTTTATCTTATTTGTTGCTTTACTCTTTAGTCTTTCGGCTTAATCTAGATGGATTATGGACTCATAGAGTGGTGTAATGGTTTGCGCACATATGATATATATATATATATGCTGCTTTTACTCAATATCCGAATAGATATTTGTATTCGACCTTCTCCGAATCCGATTCATACCGTATTCGATACTCATTATTCGTATCCGTAACCGAGTCAATCCGTATTCGTATATGTATCCGAACGCTATCCGTGTTCGAATCCGAATCCGA